ACAGGCAGCGGCCACAGCCAGGGACGGGCCGGCCCCATCGCACTCCGGCTCAGCAACCAACGCTGAAGGGCAGCCGGCGAGGACGGGAGCCTGTGCTCAGCTTTATTTAGCCGACACGGGTGTCTCATGACTGCAGATCCGGTGGCACGGAGCTCAAAATGGGAACTGCTGTGTGTGCGTTTAGACTCAGCGAAGGGGGGACGGTCTGCAGACCCGGCCGCTCCTCCCCGCCCTCCACCGATGCTGCCCCACAGCTGATCTAAAAGCCAACGGGCTGGCACAGCTCGCAGCCTCTGGTCCCCCGTGGTCACAGCTGAGCCACGGGGTCACTGCGTCTCCTGACCTGCCGTCCCCGCCCGTGGTGCCCCTGCTTGAAGGAATTCTTTACAAGCGACAGAAAGACGATCCCTTTCCTGCAGCCTACACTCAGCTGTGGACTCGGTGTCCTCACGGCCACGCTCCCGCGGACAACGCTGGCACTCACGCCTCTCCGCTGCCCCTACATCCCCAGGCAGGCGAGGGGCTCCCGTTCAGACTCCCAGCAGCGAGAGATGTACCTCACCTGTGCCCTGAGTCCTCACACCTGTGCCCTGAGTCCTCACACCTGTCCTATTGACAACAGGCCACTCCTCTTTAAAAAGCCCATGCGGCCCTGGCCGGTGTGGCTCAGAGGATAGAGCGTCGGCCTGCGGACTGAAGGGTCCCGGGTTTGATTCCGGTCAAGGGCACATGTCCGGGGTTGTGGGCTTGATCCCCAGTAGGGGGCGTGCAGGAGGCAGGCGATCCATGATTCTCTCTCATCATTGATGTTTCGCTCTCTCTCCCTCTCCCTTCCTCTCTGAAATCAACAAAACATATTTTTAAAAATAAAATTAAATGAAAAGGCCGCGCACACCCAGGTAACCACCCAGGTAACCAGTCAGGACTGTCACCTTCAACACCCCTCCCCCCAAGCAGCCCTGTAACAAAATGCGTGTAGTTACTTCTTCCTCGGCGGCGTCTGCATCCGTGGTGGGCGTGGAGTCCAGGGCCATGTCCTCCTCGGGGGTCTGGGGAGAGACACACAGGAAGGCCGTCAGCAGGGCGCAGCGTCGAGCGGGTGCCGATACCGAGGGCTCACTAGACGCCCGTCAGCACGGGAGAACGTGGGGCCCGCGTCCCTTCGCCCCGAGTTCACTGCACCTGCGCCATGCTTCCTGCCAGGACGGGCCGCAGGGGAGGCAGCGATTGTTTAAGGCCACGAGTGCACGTGACCAGGTTGGCCAATCGTGTGCCGCATCCACCACACTCCACGGGAGAAGCCGGGTGACTTACGCACCTCCCGGCAGGCGGGGGCGGCTGGAGTCACAGGGGCGACAGGGCAGGGGGTGTCAGGCTCCCTTTGCCGGGGGGCCCCCCACCCCGCTCCGCTCCGAGGAGGAGCTGAATGTGGGAGAGGAGTTCTGCAGGGGGGGTCTCTGCTCGCTGCCCAGTGACCGCGGGCGAATCGCTGGCCTGAGCCTCCCAGCATGCACGCACACGCGAGCGCACAGTTCCTCCATCACGCAATCAGGCTGCAGCAGCACCGACGGCCTGGAGACGGGCGGGAGGCAATGACGTCACGCGGACCCAGCATCTGCCCGGGGGCTCGGTGCTGAGGCCCTCGCCCAGGGAGCCCTGGGCATTCCCACTGCACCCCGTGCTCACAAGCTGTTGCTGCACATCAGCCTCAAACACTCAACTCCCGCCCTCCAGCCGGTGGCCAGGCAGCGCCGCCGGCCGTCAGCGTGGCTCTGGACGCTTTCAATGTGCACGTCCTTTTCCGGGGCGGGAAGATGCTTAAAGGGAGTGTGTTCACTGCAGGCCCATATTCAGTCCATTTTTAAAAACATGGCCCTGGCCGGTGTGGCTCCGTGGATAGGGCGTCGGCCTATGGACCGAAGGGCCCCGGGTTCTGTTCCGGTCAAGGGCACGTACCTGATTGCAGGCTCGATCGCTGGCCTGCTTGGGGCCCGTGTGGGAGGCAACCAATTATGTGTCTCTCTCACGTCGATGTTTCACTCTGTCTGTCCCCCTCCCTTTCACTCTCTCTAAAAAAATCAATGGAAAACGTATCCCTGGGTGAGGATTAACAATAAATAAGTAAATGAAATAAAAATATTAAAACCGTCAGCGGCAGGAGCGTCAGCCGGAGGCCCGTCTCTCACGTCGATGTTTCACTCTGTCTGTCCCCCTCCCTTTCACTCTCTCTAAAAAAATCAATGGAAAATGTATCCCTGGGTGAGGATTAACAATAAATAAGTAAATAAAATAAAAATATTAAAACCACTGCCTGCTCTCGAGCTTCCGTCAGCGGCAGGAGCGGCAGCCCGAGGCCCGGGGAGATGTCCAGAGCCTCCCCTCTCTCCTGCCTCCGTCCCGAGGCCGAGCCTCCCTGCACAGGGCCTGCCTCCCGGGCCAGGGGCTCCGGGGCTGACACGGGGCCTGCACCCCGAC